AAAAAACATCCATATCATCAACACTTGGGAAGGCCTGCACATCAGTGGAAAAGACAAATTTGAGGTATTTGCATCCATCATCAACTAGAAGTGCCAAGTGAATGATCCATCTCTGCCTCCTCCTTAGGCCCACAGCATCACAGATGCCAGTCTTCAGCCAGTTTCATTCACTCCACAGGATATTAAGGGCTGGAGGCACTGGATACTCCAAAAGCTGTAGGTCCTGACAAAATTTCAGCAATATGACTGAAGACCTGTATCCCAGAACTAGTTGTACCCCTCGCAAAGTTGTTCCCGTGTGGCAACAACCTGGCATCTAACCAACAATGTGGAAAATTGCCCAGGTATGTCACTTACATAAAAAGCAGGATAAATCCAACTGGCCAATTACCACCGTATCAGCCTTCTCTCAATCATCAACAAAGTGTTGGAAGGTGTTAGCGAGTGGCGCTTACTAACAATAACTTGCTCACAGACACTCTGTTTGGATTCCGCAGGGACACTCCACTCTTGACCTCATTACCACCTTGGTACAAACATGGACAAAAGAGTCATATTCAAGAGGGGAAATGAAGGTGACTGCATTTGATATCAAGGCAGTACTTGACTGACTAAGGCATCAAACAGTCCTAGAAAAATTGAAGTCAGTGGTTTCTAGGGGAAAACTCTCTGCTGGTTGGAGTCATACCTGGCATATAGGAAGATGGTTGAGCTTGTTGGAGGTTATATCATCTCAGTTCCTGGCCATTGCTGCACTACTAGAATCGTCTTCAGCTGTTTCATCAATAGTCTTCCCTCCATCATAAGGTCAGAAGTGAAGATATTCACTAATGATTCAGCAGTATTTACCATTCCTCAGATGCTAAAACAGTTCATATTCAAATGCAAACAGATCTGGGCAATATTCAGGATTGATCTAATAAGTGGCAGATAACATTTTCAACAACAACTATCAGGCAATGTTCATCTCCAACAAGACGTGCAGTGAGTCTTGAATTCCCACTTTCAATATCCTGAGGGTTAGCATTAACTGAAATAAGAACTGAACTAGTCATATCAATGCTGTAATTAGAAGCTCAGGGCTGAGGCTGTGGATTCTGCCAAATCAGCAGCAGCTTTCATTAACAGAAAAATTTTTCACTTTCTGAACCTACAGGTCTGTGGTCACAAGATTCAAATCCTTCAGGTGTGTCTGAATTATTTCCACAATTATTTGATCCTCCTCACCAACCACAATCATGGTTCATTCATGACAAAGGATACTCACAGAAGATCGAGCTAATGACACCAGTGTGGTTCCCACAAGGTGCTCCATGGTGAAGTAAGGACAACAATCAAACAGATATCTGGACTACCAGAGATGAGGTTCTACTGTCTGGATAACTCAAACATCAACGCTCTCCAGAATGAGCGGATAGGATTATTACGGCCTTTATCGTGCATTGAATGTATGTAGCCATTGCATATAACAGACATACTTTAAGTGGAACTTAACGTATTTACAATTTCTTTTCTTCTATACTTTGTTTAATCACCTGTGCCATGTTTGTGTCTTTACAAATTCTTACTCTTACTTTCCCTACAACTATGCCTAGGTGTAGCTCCAACATGCACAGCTGATGTGGAGGCAACCTGCTGCCTGCTATATTCTATTGCTTGTGATACATGGCAGATTTTGTCTAATGGTCTGAGGCCTACAGGGCTCTAGCCTGCTAAGGAGCTCCTGCATTGTTGCAGGTACACTCTTCTCTGCCTGACTTGCTGGATGGGATGGGATCACTGACAGAGTGAAGGTGGAGAGGTAGGGAACCACTTGAATTCTCCAAGGTGCCTTGATGATGTTTTGATCCCAGATTGATGACACCTCCCTGTGTCCTTCAGTAGAAGGGTTCCAAGAAAGAAGCCAAAGTGTCTCATCCTTCTCTTACTTAGCCATTGCTGCACAACAACAATGGCTTGAGTGATGGAGTGCAGGTTTGGGCACATATTTCGCAGCCAGAGTGTGTTCAACTAGACTGGGTGTCTGATCTGCCCATCATCATAAAATCAGAAGTGCAGATGTTAATTAATTGATCACAATTTGTGACTCCACCGAGCTACTGAAGCAGCCTGTGTTCCTATGCAGCAAGACCTGGACAATAGCCAGGATTGGGCTGATAACTGTCAAGTAAACATTGTTCTGCACAACTGCCAGGCAATGACCATCTTCCAAAGGAAAATTCAATGGCATTACCATTACCATCACTGAATTCCCCCATTACCAATTTCTGGGAGTCACCATTGACAAGAAACTGAATTATCGTGTCCACTGTTGGACACAAGAGTAGGTCACGAGTTTGGAATTCTGCAGTGAGTAACTCAACTCTGAGGATTGAGTTACAACCCCAAAGACTGTCCACCAGCTACAAGGTACAAGTTAGAAGTGTGCTGTAATGGTTTTCACTTGCCTGGAAGCATGTAGCTCCTTCAAACTGAAGAAACTCCATACCACCAAGGACAAATCAGTCCCCTTGATTAGCACCTAATCCAACACCTTCAACATTCACTCCTTCACAACTAATGCACAGTGTGCCCCATCTGCAAAATTCATTGCAATAACTCACCAATGCTCTTTCAACAATACCTTCCAAACCTGCAACCTCTAACATTGAGAAGGAAAAGGACAGCAGATGTATTGGAATACGATTATCCATAACTTCCATTCCAATCAATTGGAACTGTAATCATTATTCCTTTAATCTGTGAGTTTAAATACTGGAACTTCCTTTCTAATAGCTCTTCAGAAGTATTTATACCACAAAGACTGCAGCAGTTCAAAAATGTATTTCACCACGCCTTCTCTAGGGCAATTAGGGATGTACGCTAAATTCTGGCCTAGTAAGTGATTCCCACATTCCACAACCAAGTAAAAACAATAACCACCTTCCCTTGGAACAACCAAGCAATCACATTACGAAACAATGCTGGAAGACAGAAACCGAATGGACTCTTCCACCTTTTGCTTTAGTCTGAGAATGGCCTCTGGTATCTCTGTCAGAGGCTTGGGGCTGGATTCCAGCAGCCCTCTGAGTGTCAGAGACGTCCATCAGCTATGGGCCAATGACTGTGATGTGCCCATCAGATTGAGAGGCTGAGCCTAATCTAGAATGTGCACTCAATAAGGTGAATGTATATGTGCTGGTCAAATGCTGGAATGGTGGATCCTGTGAGAATTCTGAGTCATCATCTACAGAACTGGTGTGGAGTTAGAGCTGAGGGAAGACTGACTCCCCCCAGATTAAAATAAAATGCAGTAAAACTTGAAAATGGCATAGATTGTTCTGACTTGTCTTGTATACCTGAAAATGGATCACCAGTATGACCCGTAATTTCATTTCCCAGTTTTAAGAGTTTTTTTTATTGTTTTTAGTTTTGGACTTGCTGTGAGGACCTGTAATGGATTGTTCTACATGCAACCTTCTCTGGACAATGTTTTTAACCTTTGTCTTGTCCATCAGCCTGATAGCATTCTTTCAGGATTGCTGTGTGACTCCATTCTCTCCATCCAGACACACTTGATGCTGGTCCTCCCCAGCAAGTTTGGTGGACTCGTTCTTACAAGCAGTTTCAAATGTCAAGTTATGTCCTGCTGCCATGTATTGGCAGTGGATTTCCCGTGTCGACATACAGAAGGATTGAGTATCACCCTGATGTTGCATGAGTCGTTTGGGCATGCATGCTAATGACAGATCCTGCACCCTCCCCGATAAGTGCTCACCAACCACACTATCCTGCAACTGATTGCACATTCATTGCAGTAAAGTGGCTGCCACACATTCCTTCTGCTGCTCAGGCCTGTGCATCATCTTCCTGTCTGTCATCCGAAAGCACTTGGACACTTCTGCCACCTAATGCTGTAATGACTGTCACTTATGAGTGTCAGTTATTCTTGTGGAGCATTGTTGATCATTCATGCACTTCCTGCACTGCTCTCTGGTCGTTGTGCGGGTCCCAATGCATCTACCTGATCCCAGGCTACGTTGGTTTGACTGGAGGGTCGCATGCTGCCTTTCCCGAGAAAAAGGGCCTCTTGCTTTTTGCCAGGTGACCTGCAGGAGAACCTGCAGTGGCATATTGCTGAATTGTAGGGCCACTTGTCTTCTCTGAGACAGCGGAATCCCAAGTGATGCTTCTGGATTGTAGTGAACGAATATCTGTCCAGTTCCTCTTTAAATATAGCACCCAGACCTTTGACCCCGTGAGGAAATGGTGGAGCAACGGCATTCTCTTTCCCTGCCATATAATTGGCCTCACTTCTGAACCATGCTTGGCTGGTCGCTGTGTGATCACACATGGCCAGCTGTTCTGCCTCCGAGTGAATGTGTCACTCACTTAGGTCCAGCTGCTGACACCCTCGCTGCTATTGCAAGACAACGCCCAGTCAGTTTATTTTCTCAAACAGAAACAGCTAATATTGTCAGACAACTATAGTGTACAGCTATGACCACTATTAAAGATTCAAATATTTGACTCAGCACAGCACATCCACTGTGACATCCTTGACACTAATGTGGAAGACAGACGATTGGTTCTTTATACTTTGCTTGCTGATCTCAATTTTCTGATTTGGTAATCAAAGTCAGTTTCTGTGCAATTGTGTTTCGACTCCCTCCCTCCCACCCCTGCTGTCACCAGCCCCTTGGCCCAGATTGAAGTTGTCACTGTCACTAGCACAGTACCAGAATTATGTGCCTTGCTTTTACTCTCATCCCATGGTGAAAACAGCCAACCAGTGCACAATATGTAAATGATTGTGCTTAGTGAGGTAGTAACAAACCTACTGAATGGTTGTTATAGCGACAGCTGAAGGCCCTGCCTTGTAGCTTATATGAGAGAATAATGTTCATGTTTCCCTAGGGGTGTGAGAACTAAAATTGTAACAGCACGGGAGAAAAGGACCTGACGGACAACAAAGTGATCGGTGGAGTTAGATTGTGGAGACAGCAGATTTTCCCTCGGTCATGCCAGTTCTTAAATTTGATGCTGAGTCACTAGAAGGTATCCCAAAATCCTCCTGTTATAAGCTTCCATCAAAGACTATGGAGGAAATAGAACATACCTGCCCTCAGCCTCATACGGTGAGTCAAACAATAGATATCAGTGATATGTGTGTGTGCATACGTATATAAATGGCAGTTAAGTACTGAGATGGCAAATAGTTTCATCAGGGGTAAAGGATCAACAATACATGATCCTCTGTGTAGTCTTGAAACAATGCCTCCGTTTGCTGTGCCTCTTATTGTGTGTTTACTGTGGCCAGTGAATTAGACAGCTTCATTGTTTTCATGCCAATTATTCTGAGAGACAGCATTCACAGCTGCTCCTACATTAATACATGACTGTGAAGGGAAAAAACATGACCTACAAGGAGATACTTAGAGGTTTAAAAATCCAAATGTCTGCAATATAATCAAGTGCTTCCCTTACTCCTTTGAAGCTAAAATTACAAATTGCTATGGCTATTATATTTTGGGGAGATGCACAACAAATATAAAATAGGTCAGTATTACGCTGATCTCCAGTTCTCGTGCAAAATTGAAATAGTGTCATATAGATTAAAAATGCTTCCAGCAGATTCAAACTGTTCGTAAAAATCAGCTGCAAGCATTCATTGATTTATGTAAGCTTAAATTGTTAAGAAGCAAACAGATCAGACAAAAAAATTAGTCATTTGAAACATAAAATAGCGGCCACAGCAAATGGCAGAATTCATTTTCATGTTTGAACTTTGATGATAAAACAAGATTGTGGGAGTTAACTAAGACAAGAAAAAGTTTCTGTTGATTTAGAGTAATAAATTTGAATAATCAATGTTGAAATCAGGTGAGGAGGAGTGAACCAGCGCCCCTCTTTTCAATCTCCTTTGTTAGCTAAAACAAAGGTTTGTGTTTCTTTTTAGCAAGTAGCTATATTATACTTCAATGAAAATGTAGCTTGCTAACTCAAAAGTACAAATTCACTTATCAGTTTTTCTTGAATGAAAGAAAACAAAATGTCATTACTTAACGAGCCTGAGAAAAAAATTCTAAACTTGTGCACAGATATGAAGTTTAATAGAGGGAAGGTGTGTATTACAAAAAGGAGGATCAAGAATATATACCTGAAAAAGTCTTTAGAGTTTCTGAGGTATTTAGCTTTAACCTGACGATATGATTGTTTAATTGATGATCTTTTACCTTAGCAGTGGTGAAATTAGTTGATATCATTGAGTTCTTCGTGAATAAATGTTTCTTCAATTAGCTTACCTTGTTGTAAGACTGAAAGACACAGAAAGTAGGAGAGGGAGAGAGGGAAAGAGAGAGGAAAAGAAAGCAAGACTTCCAGTGCAGCTGATATGAATCCATGTTTCTCCTGTCTGCTCTACCCAAAAGCAATAGCATGAAATACAATTTACTTGTGCATTCCAGAGTCTGGCTTTACTTATTTTCAAGCTGGTTAATCTATCGGTAACTTTTATTGCATTGTGGTAAAATTCCAGAAAAATGTAAATCACATAGGACACATGGATCTAAGTGATTGGTTTCAGTCATATTGAGGACAGGCTCATTTCAGTTTAGGCTGGGTCTTCTTTATTGATGGTTTTATGAACTGGTTCAACTGGTGGTCAGGTAATCACTGTGGCCAGCTTAAGCCAATTTTAAAAACCATTTCAATCTGTGAAATGTTCAATATATTAAAATTAGCTGATGGAAGTCAAAATTTGATTGTTTAATTTTATAACTATCATAATTCAGTTAGCTGCAATCAAATTATTACTACTCGGAGATGCAAAATTCAATAAACCCCCAAAACAGAGGTTAGAATCATGATGCATGTTTAACCTATGTCCTCTACATAACTTCAAGCTGCCCACTTATTTAAACGTGACTGCATGCCTGATAGGGTTGTGCAAAACCATGAGAGATGCATAAAAGTTCAAGCTAATCTACATTAAAGGAGTCATGCATTCAAGCTGTAGCAGATGCTGGAGATCATGCCACAACTGATAGTGACCTGGAAAAGACAAACATGGTACAACGTGACAGAATGTGGACTTCAAGATTTTCTGATACTGCAGGCTTTGGTGCAGGAAGTGGAGAGCAGGAGGGATGACTTCTACCTCAGGGCATCAGAAGGTCTTTCAGACAAACTTTTCAAAAACATTGTGGTCAGATACCTGTGGAGACTAATGCCTAAGGAGTTCACCCCAAGTATCTCGATGCAATTTCTCAAAATATTTAATGATCTCACATGTATGGTCAAGGCCAGAAAATCTTCAAATGCCATATCCCATCCACTGCACAATTGGCCTGGCACACTGCTGCATACACATTACACCCCTACTAAGATCACAGACGAACTAACAAACTCTAACAATCATAACTATACCTTACATTCAAATACTTCATCACATTCATACTTTTAGCACTATTGCAAGTCTAGCACCCACACCTCATACTTGGTAAAATTCAACCGTGTCAATCACATGACCGAAATACAAAGAACCACAATCACTATCACAAGTCCCTTTCATTTGCAGGACAGTAAAGCACAGCCAGAGCCAACTAGATCTAACTAGTGAGGAACAAGCACAGTTGCATATCCTTGTCCCTGTGGACTTGTCCTGTGGAGAAGAAGGTGGTCGAAATCAATGAAACAGCCATGAATGAGGCCTTGGGCAGTGATAAAAGCAAAAGCCACAGATGATGACAATGTTGTCATGTTCCACTTCCACTCATTTTACAATCTCCTCTGATTCACAAGGAGCAAATTGTGTGAGCATATACTATGTGGTTTCTCACCACTCTCTTCACCACAACCCTACCCTTATACCTTTCTCCTTTCAGGTTCTCAAGAACTGCAACCTGACCAGGCAGTGGTAAAAGAGCAGGAAGAATGTCATGACGAAGATGCTCCATCACTTGCTCTCACTCCCTTGGACCAGCTTAGATTCTGAAACTGTATGCATTTTAGAGGATAGCTTAGCAGCAGGACCTGTGTGTGGTGAGACTAGTCTGCAGCTGGGCCAGGAGGTAAGGTAGCATAAGTTACATCTCAGTGCAGGCTAGGGCCACAATAAGATTGGCTGAAGAAGACTCAGATGAGAATGTCAATGGGGTGGCCGACAGAAGATGGCTGTTAGAAATGTACACCTAACTGCTTGGTGTATTTGCAGTCCTGCTGGAAAGCCTGTTGTCACCAACAAGACCATGAAGCAGTCTGGTACTAACTTATTTAGCAACTTGCAGATCTATGATGGTTGATGTCTCAGCTACCATTGCAGCACAAACAGAAACCACCTAATGTCTGGATGCAGCATTAGAAGCACAGACTAGCAACGTACAAGGTTAGTAGAAAGTACAGATCGTTGCCACCATGGTTATGGAATCTTGTGTGCAAAAAAGTTTGTCCTGGCACTCCGATTTGTTCTCAAGCAGATTTCTGGAATTGCTGAAACACTGTTCCAGTGATTCTATTGCGCATGAACCTGCTGTCCTCTCTCAGGATTTATCCTCCCACCCTTGCAACCCACCAGTACCTGTGCTATTATCATTCAACTAGCCAGCTTACATTAATGTTGCCCATGAAAAGGTAGAGGAGTCTAAAACTAGGATTACGAAGTCACATCAGCTCAATGTTGTCCTCGAAGACCACCTGCATTTTTCTCCACTGAAAGTGAGCAGTCGCCTCCAAACTGTAGGGCAGCCAAGTGGGATAATACTGTATAGGATCACTAGCACAGGGAAAAACATCCACAAAGCAGGCACTAAGTGACTGTGGCAGGGTGATGACATCGTTCATTTTCTACATTTAGTTTGGAATATTTATTGTTAAGATCTCAGCTAATATAATTTCTGTACAAGTCAGGTCCCAGACTGAAATCTGGCTTGATAGATCATTTGTTTTGGTTTGATAATGGAATAGTTTAGGTTAGATGGGCTTCAGATTGGTTTCACAGGTCGGCGCAACATCGAGGGCCGAAGGGCCTGTACTGCACTGTAATGTTCTATGTTCTATGTTCTATGTTTTAATGAGGTGATCTCTCACTGAAATATAAGCATGCAATGCTGCAGGTTTGGGTTTAACAATGAAACCAGTTTATTGTGTAAAATAAATTAAGATAATATAGAATAAATCAAACTATATACTTTTTTAAAAATTCATTGGATATGGCCATCACCTGAGTGACCAGCATTTATTATCCATCCTTATTGCCTTGATGGCAGTTAAGAGTCAACCATATTGCTTTGGGTCTGAAGGCATGTATAGGCCAGACCAGGTAAGGACAGCAGTTTTCTTCTTCAAAGGGCATTAGTGAACTAGATGAGTTTTTCCCGATAATGGTCATCATTAGACTCTCTTAATTCGAGATACATATAGAATTCAAATTCCGCTGTGCCATGGCACAATTCAAACTCCAGTCCCAAAAATATTACCTGGGCCTCTAGATTAATAGTCTAGCGATTATACCACTACGCCATCACCTCCATCTAGCACGTGTTGACATATTTCAAAGCTCATGGAAAAAATATAATCCCATTAATCCCGATGGCATCCCATTACAGTATTCCACCAGTACAGTGAGTGCCCTTTTCTATCTCACAAAGGGTTTGAATTAATCGTGACTTCAATTGGGGATCTTGATTTGTCATGTAACTGAGCCTAGACTTTGTCAGCTCCAGAGTTTTAAGCAAACGTTTTTAACCTAAACTCTTACACTAAGGTAACATACTTTTGACAACGCTAAAATATATTCTCCCTTTCTCAGGAGCAACTGCTTTACCAATCAAGCTTCACCCAAGTACACTGCATACCTACCCAAACTGAAAACAAAGGAAATACTTTCTTTCTAAGCTATCAGCGTTTCACCTAAGCGCCCCCACAAAATTCTAGAATCTTCTATCAGATAACATAATGCACTACACTGTTTATGTTGTTCACTTTTAAACTTTCACAAATTCACATTAGCCTCCAAAATCTTTCAAACTGTTTTTAAAGGACATCGCCATGGCTATAGAAGCACTTACAAGTTAATCATCAAATCCTTTCAGGCACGCAGTAAACCCATATATCACTGGTTCAGATTCAAAAATCCAAA